GGCCCCAAGTCCTTCATCGCAAACGATTTGCTTAACTCTTTCTTAAGGACTACAATTCTAGATTTATTTTTGCCAACAATCAACATATCATCCACATAAAGTAGTAAGATAATAAAATCATCATCAGAGAACTTCTGAAAGAATCCACAATGATCTGAAGAAGTTTTCTTGTATCCCTGATTTTCAATGACAGATTCAAACTTCAAGTACCACTGCCTTGGAGCTTGTTTCAAGCCATACAAGCTCTTTCTCAATTTGCAAACATGGTTTTCTTTTCCTTTAACGATGAAGCCTTCAGGTTCTCCCATATCAGTCAAAAGGATATACTCATTAGGAGAATAACGTGTTGAGCTTCGCTTCTCTCTAGTGGATCTTCTACAAGAGGTTTCTGGAGCATCCAAATTTGTCATCTCAGCATTAGTTGGTTGATGATCAACCACAACATCACCAATAGGAACATCTATAGGTTCTACACCCTGATCATTATCTAGATCATTATCTTGGGTTCCTTCATGTGCAAAAGATGTATCAATAATAGGAACTGGATCAACATCAACTAAGCTCTCATCAATCTAAGAATCTGGTTTCTCAACCTTGTCAATATCTTCAATAGTTTGATCTTCAAAGAACACAGCATCACGACTTCTAATGAGCTTCTTATCAATTGGATCATAAAAGCGATATCCAAACTCATCTTGACCATAACCAATGAAGATGCACTGCTTAGTTTTAACATCCAATTTCGACCTCTCATCTTTTGGAACATGCATACAAGCTTTACAACCAAACACTTTCAAGTGATCATAAGAAACATCCTTACCAAACCAAACTCTATTTGGAACATCACCATCCAAAACAACAGCAGGAGACAAATTGATAACATAAGCAACAGTGTTAAGTGCTTCAGCCCAAAATGAATTTGGAAGTTTAGCCTCTGAAAGCACGCATCTAACTCTCTCAACTAAAGTTCTGTTCATCCTTTCTGCCAGGCCATTTAATTGAGGAGTCTTTGGAGGAGTCTTCTGATGACGAATTCCTTGCAATTTGCAGTAGTTATCAAAGGGACCAATATACTCACCACCATTATCAGTGCGAATACATTTTAATTTCTTTCCCGTTTGTCTCTCAGATAAGGCTTGAAACTCCTTAAACACATTAAGTACTTGATCTTTGGATTGTAAAGGATATACCCAAATCTTGCGAGAATGATCATCAATGAAAGTTGCAAAGTAAAGCGCACCACTTTTTGACTTCACTTTAAAAGGACCACACAAATCAGAGTGTACTAGCTCCAGTAGCTCAGACTTTCTTGAAGGAGGATGACTGTGAAAAGAAACTCTTTTCTGTTTCCCATCTAAGCAATGAACACATCTTTTTACCTTTGCTTGTTTCACACCAGCAAGCAAATTCTTCTTAGCCAAACAGGTAATCCCCCTTTCGCTCATATGACTAAGCCTCTTGTGCCACAATTCTGATAAAGTCTCACTTTCCACCAAATTTATAAAGTCTCCAAGGATCGATCCTTGTGTCACGTATAAATTTGAATGCTTTCTTCCTCGAGCTACAATCAATGAGCCTTTGGTAAGCTTCCATTGGCCATTGAACAATTCATTATGATAGCCATCATCATCTAGTTGTCCTACAGAGATCAAATTCAAGGGAATGTCTAGAGCATGCTTGACATTCTGAAGGACTAACATTGAACCAGTATTGGTTTTCAAACAAACAGTGCCAACTCCAAACACCTTAACCTCACCAGCATTACCCATCTTTAGCACCTCAGAGTTAACAGAAGTATAAAATGAAAAGAAGTCTTTTCTCGGTGTGACATGTGATGTAGCTCCAGAATCTACTATCCAACTTGTATCTTGAGATACAAAATTGATGACGTCTTTATCACAAGCAAAAAGAAGGTCATCTCGAACAACAGCAACAACATTGTTTCCATTATTTTCTTCCTTCTTCCCTTCTTTAAGATCTTGCTTCAATTGTTTGCAAAATCTTCTAATATGTCCTTTCTTTCCACAATGATGGCATATAATATTTGGATTCCTGAATCTTGACTTGCTTCTACTTTTACATCTACTCTTCGAATCTCTTGTCCTATCTCTCCCTCGATCTTCTGTGTACAAAACATCTGAATGTGAGGATGTGCCTTGAGATTTTCTTCTAACTTCTTCATTCAACACACCACTTTTTGCATATTCCATAGTCACCTTACCACCAGGAGCAGAATTTGTTAAAGAGACACGAAGAGTTTCCCAAGAATCCGGTACAGTATTAAGAAGCCAAAGTCCTTGTATTTCATCATCAAAATTAACACCCATTCCTGATAGCTGATCAAGAACACCTTGAAAATCATTTATGTGATCAAGAATAGGACTGCCCTCCTTGTATTTAAAGGTCATCAATTGCTTTAGCAAGAACAACTTGTTATTGCCAGTTTTTGAAGCGTAAAGCGTCTCCAACTTTTCCCACAATGTTCTAGCATGTGTCTCATTCACAATATGGTTGCGAACATTATCTTCAACCCATTGTCTTATATATCCACATACCTGTTGGTGCTCGAAATCCCAATTTTCATCGGTCACAGTCTCAGGTTTATGAGCAGCAAAAACGGGAAGATGCATCTTCTTCACGAACAGTAGATCTTTCATCTTGCTTTTCCATATGTTGTAGTTTCTTCCGTTTAGACAAACCATCTTGCTCATATTCCCCTCCATATAGAGAACCTCGCTCTGATACCACTTGTTGTGACGAAAAGATGAAAAACGAAAATCTAAAATAAAGAACACCAAGTTTAACGTGGAAAAATCCTTCAAAACGAAGGTAACCACCACGGGATCGACAAGATCCGAATTGCTTCACTATAACAATAAGAGAGTTACAATTATTCTTCTAATGGCTACACAACAAGTGCCAAAAGAGAACAAACAATAGCTACACCAACAAAAGATAAATAGAAAGAAACACCACCCAAACCCAGCTGCTGTTCGGGACCTAAAACAGGATCTTTCTGACTTCCGAATCCGATCTCCACCGTTCAAATCAACCACCAAGATGTCAGGAACACTCAGTACAAATTTCAGCCCGATCCAACGGTTAGTTAATCGGAAAACACGATCTGAAGGTTGCTGGTCGGAATAAAGGACTGCAGCAAAAGAACCCTTTTTCTTCTCTCTTATCTCTTGTTGAAAGCTCTCTCAAAAACCTCTCTTATGTCCTAATGTCTTTCAAAGACAATATTAATGAGCAATCTGAATTATTCTCTCAAGACCATCTTCTATTTATAGAGTTGTGCTTTTCTTTACAAAGCCAAAACCAACTCCAAGTAGGATTACTATTTCAATCCTTTTCCTAATAGAATTGGAAACCAAATAAAGAGAATAATTACAATCCTTTTTCAAGTAGGATTAGGCCATGGGCCTTTGGCTGGAACTTGGGCAATAGCCCAACACTATGCTGCTAGTGTAACACCAACCATAAAATCAAGAAAAAAAGCAAGTTTATTTTTTCTTAAAAGTAAGTTGTCAACTAGCAAGGTTCCTATCAACCACACTTGGAATAAACTCGGCTAATATCATCAATTCATGTAGAATAGAAAATGCATTCTCTATGGACCATCGAGACACCATGATATCTATAGACTATAGTTAAGTAATGCTTAGTGTCCCGTTAAAGCCACCATTATCTTTGGAAACATATAAACTAATTACATATAATCATATACGACTGGCCCAATTCCCTACAGAGTATAAAGGTTGATTAAATACATAGTCATCCCTTTAAACTAGTCTTAATATTTAGACACTCGTACTAAGTTTTATTCCAATTGAATACACTAATTTCTAGTAAAATGTTTCAATTAGATAATTTCGATTCAAATTTTGAAATATCTTTTCTGGTATGTTTGTTCGTCTATGAGGTAGTTAAGTAAATCATATAAATATGTCATCTCGTTTAATTATACACATTAACCTGAAGTAGAAAATACATGGGACTTTATAACTTATTGAGGCAGTACGCATCAAAATTTTGTGGGGCTCCACAAGACAAGCCCAATTTTCAGTTAGGGTTCATGGAAGATACTCTATCCTAAACTCTAGATCATGCCTATATAGATGGTAATGTATTCTCTTGAAGAGAAATATTAAATATCCAATAAATTTTTGAGATATTTATAAAGAGATTACGATGTATTAAAACTCTTCTTGACAATCAAATATTTTAAGAAGATCCACAAAATCCTTCTTTCTTGGAGATCAAATAAATCCAAGGAGATTCGCATTATCCTACTCGAGAAACACACTGCTTCAACTCTCGAATCACAGAGATAAATGATAAACAAGAGAGAAGAATCAATTAACAAACATAATTGCATCGTCATTATTTATCAAAAACAATTATGTTCCTTCATATTTTATTTATAATTGTAAATTTATTTTCTAGCACTTTAAAATATTTGGCATTCAAAGAAAACATATATATATTCAAAAGAGATAACATATTTTATGTTTTTAATTTAAATATCTTATAGCTAGACGAATGAGAACACACACCAAAAAATATTTCAAAACTGAAACTAAAAGTGTGTATTTAATTTGAAATATTTTGTTAGAAGTTCATGTGGTGTTCAATTAGACTATAATAACTTAATTTGAATATCTAAATAGAATATTCAAATAAATTAAAAATGCTAGCTACGTCATAAGCCAATTACATATAAAATAATAAGGCCGACTTATACAGTTGTGTGCATGATCCATAGGCCGACAAAAAATTGGTGTTTGTATTAGTTGTCTATGTGTGTGTGGAGTGTGTACAATGTACATGTCCTTATCAAAATTGTTCGTTTCGTGTTCTATTTTATCAATTAATTAAAAAAAACGTGGCTTTTACTTTTTCAAGAAAATCATTTTGTATTTATTCATTCAAAGTCCCCTTTCTTATCCAATAAATATCAATTATCATAACTTCATCCAAAAACCTTCCTAGTAAATCTTGATTATCAGTTACACAAAATATACACATAGATATCGATTCAACGTATAAAAATCTTAGTTCAATCCCAGATTTTGTTTGTGTAAGTGAAGTTAATTGAAGAAAATGAGAAGAAATTGCAATTTGGAACTCACTCTTTCTCTTTCATCCTTTTCTCCTATTAGGGAGGATCAAGAATTCGAGAATAAGAAATCACAACAGCTAACAAAATTTTATAATGGAAAATTTGTGGATTCTGATGTTACTCAGCTTCAGATATGTGTATTTAGTTTCCAGTTCTTTTCTCTTTAATTAATTGTTTGTGGGGATATGAAGTGTATGGCTAGTATTCACTTTTCGTTTTTTAATCCGTTTATAAAAGAATCAAAAGTTAACTTTAAAACTCCTCTTTTATCTTTAATGAGTTGTTTTTGAGTATAAGTTTTAATAATCCTATTTTTTTTAAATGCAGGCTAAAGCTATAATATATCTTGCAAGTAGAGGAATGGAGGAGAAAACAAATAAGATGTCTGAGCCCTCATCACCATCATTACAACCTCAAACTGGTCTATTCATGAAGCGATCTTTACGGAGATTTCTACAAAAGAGAAAAAATAGAATTTAAACAACTTCGTCATATCATCATTAAATGATTCGGCTCCATTTAGTTTCATATGTATATATGTTTTGTATTTTGGTGTAACAAATATATAAATATTTTAATATGATCAGAGCTAGAAAATAAAGAAAATTTTTCGAATAGGTGAATTATAGTAATCAAACACAACACTTGTGCATCAATTATTTTAAGATTTGGAAATTAATACAAAATTAAAATTTCATGTTTTTATTTCATGGTACGAATCACACTTGCTCTATGTGCCTAAATGCAACGAGACGACACTATCTAATACCAAGAACCTCATATCTTAAAAGGTAACTGAACTATGAAAAATGATTTAATGAAGTCAGTGAATTTTATTTTATATATATCAATAAAATCACTCAACCTAAAAATTTAACCTTCAAAAATCATTCAACTACATTTAACATTAAAATAAATTTAACATGTCAAATTAAATTATTTTGTTATGCCATATAATCATGAACCCCATAAATAAATTATTTAATGTCATGTAAAGATAAACCCCATAAATAAATAAAATAATAAAATCTATTTAATTCTTTGCCATGTAGTTATTTTTTTCTCCTTCTAATTGGCATGATTCTCTTTTTGCAAAATAATCAACAGCTTTTTTTTTCTGGACTATTAGAGATGACAAAAAGCTCAATTCCCATTTTATGGAGAGTAGGAATTCATGTAAAGAACCTTTGTTTAACAAGATTAATATTCCAATTGGATAAAGAATGACTCTAAAAAGATTATATTTGCTAAACTATTGTCGTCGGTAATGGTCCAGAAAAACGCTACTGATTATTGAGAAATAGCATAATTATATGGTATAAAAATAAATAAATTTTATAATTTTATTTAGGGAAAAGGGTAAAAAATGTTCTTAAACTATGTGAAAGGAATAAAAATGCTCTCCGTTTATAGTTTGACTCAAAAATGCCTTTACCGTCAATACTTTGGTTAAAAAATGTCCTTGCAATCAATATTTTGGTCCAGAAATACCCCTATAATTGCAAAATGGGTCAAAAAAAACTTTTTCCGAATAAATATATATATTTTTTCTTTTTAAACACGTCTTCTTACTGATTAAAATATTACTCCCTCTGTCCCTAATTACTTGTCCGCTTTTATTTTAGTTGTCCCTAATTACTTGTCCATTTTGACAAATCAAGAAAGAACAACTTTTTTTACCTATTATACACTCAATTTATTAGTTTGAAAAAGGTAGAACTTCTTGAAGTTTTTAAGTTTTTAATTCATTCACTTCTTAATTAATATGGGTAATATGGTAAACTCACTATGTCAATCATTGTTTCTTAATAGGTGTGTCAATTCAAAAGTAGACAAGTAATTAGGGACAGATGGAGTATTAAAGAACACTATTCTTGTTTTCTTTCTTCTAAAATCATTTTAACAAATAAAAATATAGGAAATATTTTTTTTCTTCTTAATCTCATTTTATCAATTAAAATAGAATAACTTCATGTACCCTTTCGACATATAATATATGTCATTATAGAAGATCATAGTATATTCATCATTAATTTATATTTATATAACGATAAAACATAATGACAATAAAATAAGAAATATTTTCATTTTTTTAAATTGAAGTAAGATAAACATTTTCTAACTTTAAAAAATATTATTAGAAAAAACGGTGTTAAAAAGAAAATAAATAATATATTTATTTGGAAAATGAGCATTTTTGACCCATTAAATAACAATAAGAACATTTTTGGACCAAAGTATTGACAACAAGGATATTTTTGGACCAAACTATAAACGCAGGACATTTTTATTCCTTTCACATAGTTTAAGGATATTTTTGAACTAAAGTACTGACAGTAAGGACATTTTTGATATCCTTAATAACATGTTGGTTATACCTACTATTTAAATGAAAACTAAGTGTTTCCTGTTTCCCTGCATTAGTAGACTAGATATATCCGTGTTTAAAAATCCTTCAACTTTTTAATCATTTTAAGATGCATTACTAATCCATGCATTATTAATCCATCCATTACTAATCCCTACATTATTTTACCTTATTTGAAGTTAATTTTTTCCTAAAAGAAAAGACAAAATATTACCATAAATGTTTTTATTTTTCATGAAAGGAAAATATATTTTTCTTCCATATTTGGTTTATTCTTTCCTTAGAAGGAAAATTTGGAATCCTATAAATTGAAGATCTTATTCTCATAACAAAAAACAAAATAAAATCCACAATGTAATCGTTTAGAGAGTTTTGTTTATGAGGAGATTTTTCTCTCTATAACTTTTATTCTTTTAGTTAGTTTTTAATTACGTAGGCCAATTGGTCCTATCATATAATAATATCATGTCTTTTAGTATAGTTTTATTTGTCATCTAATTTATCGGCATATGATTTGCAATTGTAAGCTTCCGCATGACGCCCAAATCACTTTTGAACCCAACAGTAAGTACACCAACACCCTTCACTATTTAGCTATTGAATTTGATTATTTAATTATTGATCATATACATAGAACTAATTTCCAGATTATATTGGAAAACATGAAAAATCTTTTAGATGCACATATTGGTCCAAGAGTATTTTTAGCCCAGTAAATATCACTTATTCTGATATTTATCCGTGATGGTATACAAGTATAATAGGCTTATGAACTAGTAAATATTGTCTATTCTAGTGCTTTTGGCACCGAATTAGAATTACATTAACAGTGCATACTTGGTTCTTCAAATGTAACAGGTCTTCAATAATCAAGTTCAAGTTACAGTTGTTAGCCTTTTCTTTGCTGAACATCTAAGTGATGGATAGAATCCAGTTTCAAAGTGAAGATCTTGTGGTTCCACAAAAAGTTGCATGAGCCTCTACATAAACATTGCTTTTACAATGGGTACGAAAAGCAAAGGCCATAACAAAGTTCATCTCTAAGGGGTCGTTTGGTGTGAGAGATAAAAACAAATAGTCATGGGATAAAAAAATAGTCTTGGATAATATTTTGATTTCATGTTTGATTGTCATGTTTGGGATAACTTATCCCACCATTTATATCATAGTTATGGGATAAGTTATCCCATATACATGGTGGGATAACTTATTCCAGGATAATTAAACTTGAGATAACATGTTCCCAACCAAACGACCTGAGGATTCTGTTGGGAAACGCAAGCACAAATAAATGTGCACGACAGGAAAATAGCGAAAGAAAACTCAATCTAAACTTTTCCTTCGAAGACAAACAAAATCAAGCGCAAACTGATCAGTTTGGGGCAGCAAACAAATCAACCAAAAGAAATATAGCAAGGCAAAAACAAAATCAATACATGAGACACCACGATTAACGTGGAAAACCTCTTCGGGGTGAAGAGTAAAAATCAAATGGTCAAATCTTCACTATAATCAAAAGAGTTATAAATGTGTTTTCCAAAATGGCCACCAACAAAGTGTCAAACAATGAGCAACACAACTACAAGATATCACAAAAAAGCTAGAGAAATAAATGGAGTAAAATCACCAAACATAGCTACTTTTCACGTACTAAAATCTGGAGCTACAGAACTGAAAATCCACCTTTCTTAGTTCCCAATCAAATTTTAAGTTGAAAGGAACAAGTTCTCCAAAAATCAGCTCAATCGGACAACAAACGAAGCAGAAATCACCATTTTAAATTGGCTGCTAGAGCTTGTGCGAAAATGTGCACTCTCTCACTTTCTTTCTATATGACTGTTGATCTCCCTTGTGAATCTTCTGAAAATAAGACCTAAAAGAAGTCTTACATATGTACCATAATATTGGGCTTATGTGCAAAAGTGAGCTAGTTCAAATTGGGCTTTTATTTATCCACATAGGAAGAGAAAAAGACCCAAACCCCCACATTCTCCCCCTCCCGACTATGTAGAGAAGACCTCCATCTCGGCGATCATGCAACATTCTTCAAACTCCCTCTTGACAAAGTTTTACTCATCATGCCGGAACCATTATAATTGGTATGGATCTTCTCAAGTTCAAGCAACTTAGAATCCAATACATCTCGAATTCAATGATACCTCACATCAATGTACTTAGATCGACCACAAAATGTATAATTCTTGCCAAGATGATAGCACTTTGACTATCACAATAAAGCACATACCTCTCTTGAGCACAACCAAGTTCCCCTAAGAATTTATTCATCCAAAGCAACTCTTTACAAGCTTCAACAACTACAATAAGCTCAACTTCTATAGTAGATAGAGCAACACATTCTTGCAACGTAAATTGCCAAGACACAACTCCCCCTTGCAAAAGTAATCAAGTAGCCTAAAGTAGACTTACGAGTATCAACATCACCAACATAACTAACATATCTGAGTCAGTGTAACCAGAAAGAATAGGCTTTTCTGTCCCAAAACACAAACTCAGACTAGAGGTGCGGCAAAGATATCTCATAATCAATCCACTTTATATCATTCAATTGCTCTCTTCCTGGATTAGAAAGAAAATGGCTAACAATACCAACAAAATGAGCAATATCTAATCGTGTACACATCATTGCGTACATCAAACAACCAACGGTTGAAGCATAAGGAATTTTCTTCATATTTTTCATCTCACCATCATCGGAAGGATAATGGTTCGTGCTCAATTTGAAGTGCATAGCGAAAGGTGTACGAACAACCTTAGCTTTGTACATGATGAATCTACAAAGTACTTTCTGACTTTACTTCTCTTGTGATAACAATAACTTTTTGGCCTCTTTTTGTCACGAACAATCTGCATGCCAACAATCTATCTTACTGGTCCCAAGACTTTCATAGTAAAAGACTTATTCAATTCTTGCTTCAACTTTTTAATCCTACAAGCATTATGATCAACAACAAACATGTCATCAACATAAAGAAAAAACGATAATAAAGTCACTCTCAGAGAATTTTGGCACAAAAATACAATGGTCTAAAGAAGTCTTCTTGAAGTCCTGCTGACTTATGAAAGAAAAAAACTTCATGTACCATTGTCAGGG